GTCCACTGGGTGTGCAGGCTCTGGGGTTTCCCAGGTGGTAAAGGCCAAGGTGAGCTCCCACCTATGTTCTGCCCAGGGCCACCCTGCACAAAGTATAAAGCAGTCTGAGATGTCTGCTACTTGTGCTGGACTTGGATACTCCCAGCTGAAGCCAAACTGTGAATCTAGGCTGGCTGCTGCTACTGCTGGGCCAAGGGCCACTTAGCAAGAGGTGCAGGGGTTGGGGGCCCACTCAGGCCAGCTGTTGCTTATTTGGTAGGATTTAGGAAATTGTGAAACATGAGCCAAGACCAGCCATTCATATGGAATGTCACAGTTAACAATTTCAGTGGACCCATAATTTGAGTGGGACAGAGTTTCAGGGGATCTCTAGGGCAGGGCAAATAGTGTTAGGATGATGGAGTCTCAGATATGGCACTGGCCTGCTGGCTCCATGGGGAGAGGGCTCAGAAAGGGACAATGGCCTCTGTCTACCTTGCTGTCTAAGAGAAAACTGTCCCCCAGCTCTTGCCTTGATGCCAGACACTTCAGTTTCTTCCCGTATGCCACTGGTACCTTTCAAGCTGCTACCCCAGAGCTGGAGCTCAGAGACAGTGAATCTGAGTATAAGTCTATTTGTGGGTTCTTTAAGGGGAACTGCTTGGGACCATAGAAGTTTCTTCCACTTACTCAATCCCTGCTGGTTTTTGCAGCCAGAAGTTATGGGGATTTATCTTCCTGGCACTGGAACTTTGGGCTGGGGGCCTGATGTGGGGCTTGGGACTCCTCGCTCCCAAGATATCCCTCCCAAATTTTTATCTATCACATGTGATGTGAGATCAGCCCATTCCGTCTTCACCGCTACTACCAGTTTGGATGGATGTGGTTTTTTCAATTCCATAGTTGTCAAACTTCCATTCAACTTGATTTCTGAATGATGGTTGTTCTATATTTTAGTTGTAATTTTGATGTGGTTGTGCAAGCCATGTTTACCCATGCCACCATCTTGACCAGAAGTATCACCTTTGTTTTCTAACTTCTCAAGTACTTCTGATATTTAATCTGGGTTTTCCCTACAAGTAGCTCTTTCAAATCACCAATTACCTATTCATTGTCAAATCCAATGGGATTTCCCCATTCTGCTTAACTTCTTGGCATTATTTATATCATTAGTGACCACTTGCCCTGTAGTCTTTCTCCTCTCTGGACTTCCTTGTTACTAAATTATCTTGTTGGGTATTTTTTTCCTGTTTCTCTGACTACTCTGACCCAGTCTCCTTCATTGGCACTGCTTTTCAGACCTAATCCTTAAACGGGATCAGATCACTGTATCAGGTTGGATTTAGCTGCTTTTTTCCACACATTCCCATGATGATCAACTTGCTATGACAATGATAACTCTTAAATCCTAACATGTTTTCACACCAGCAAGTCACATTTCTGACATGGCTGGGTGTTTTTATATTAAGGAGGAGATTATATTGGACATTCCCTTACACTGGATCCCACATTGCTCATTTAATTTTTTAATAAGTAGTTAATATAGAGATCCATTAAAAATACTTTAATTTAAAATATAACTGTACTTGTTATTCATTAATTCTTTGAGTATAGGTCTATTGATTTGAAAATTCTTGCATAAGCAACCCACAGTGCAGTGGGTTTTTGAAAAGCACAGCAGGAATTTAAAATGTGAAACAATCTGTGTACAGACTCTTTCAGGATTTTTTATTTTCCCCAAATATTTTCTATTTTTAATTATACTGTTTACATCAATTTTTAAAGCTACTTATACTAAATCTTCCAAAGCAGTCAACTTAGTTTTCTTACAGTTCTTGTAAATACTGAGGTTGTCATCATTTGATCTGATACTTAATTAAACTACATCACAATAACAAGTATAAATGAGTTAAGGAACAAACACAATTAAGCATTCAATGCATCTGGTGGAAAGAAAAATATTTAGATGTACAGATGAGTAGCCTATCAGCCACAAGCATTCAGCATGCTAGGGCTGTCAGTATGTTTTATAGAGAAAATAGAAAATGACGGTTAAATTTGGTAAGGCATTTAAATAAAGATTAAAGAGCAAGTCTTCACATTAAAACCATGTTAAGTCAGGAATCTTACAGAGTTAAGAAAAATATCCATCTTAGATCTGCTTACCTCTACCTCTTTTCAGTGGTACAGTATTTCTATACTTATACTTACAATCTTAAGAGTGATTTTAAGATTTATACATGGACAATGTATTTTAAAAATTAAAGTGGAAAAATGATGGATAATCCCTAAACAACAGACATGTCTATTCATGGACAATTTCCCATGTCTCTAAGGACTGTGAAAAACTTACAGGCATATACCTCAGAGATAATTATTATGGGCTCAATTCCAAACCACTGCAATAAAGTGAGTATCTCAATAAAGCAAGTCACACACGTTTTTTGGCTTCCCAGTGCATATAAAAGTTGTGTTCACTATACTGTAGTCTATTAAGTGTGCAATTGCATTATGTCTAAGAAAATAATGTACATATCTCATTTAAAAAATATTTTATTTTTATTAATGATCTGATGGCTAAAAAAAATGTTAACTATCATCTGAGCCTTCAGCAAGTTGTAATCATTTTGCTGATGAAGGGTCTTGCCTCAATATTGATCACTGCTGACTGATCATCATAACAAATAATAATGAAAAAGGCTGAAATATTGTGAGGATTATAAAATGTGACAGAGAGACACAAAATGAGCAAATGTTGAAAAAATGGTGCCGACAGACTTATTCAACACAAGGTTGCCACAAACCTTCAATTTATAAAAAAAATACATTATCCTCTAAGTGCCATAAGGAGAAGTGCAATAAAACAAGGCATGCCTGTATTTACCCTACATGTGCTTATAATAATAGAATTCCTTCCTTATTGAAAATAAAAATTAAAACTTTAAATATCCTACCCTCTTTTTTCTATTCTCTATTTTTCAAGTGACTATCAATAAAAAGTTTAAAGGAATGCAATATCTGAGGAACAGAGAAAACCCTTCTGCTACTAGGATTAACCAAACAAGCAATAACTAGTCTCAATAATATTGCAGAGATTTACTGCATGTGACACAAATAAAAGACAAACTTGACTAATTCACTTCAATGGAAGATATAAGGGAGAATCCAGAACTTGTTGGATGATGCTGACCTATATTACTAATTTTGAAAGTTGTTAATTTTGTGTTTTTGTCCCCCAAAGTTAATTTTTCACCAACTTAGAAAAAAATCTTCCAAATAAAACTACAAATTAAATAAAACAATTGGAGAAAATAATGTCTTTTGTTTTCCTGCAATGTTATAAAGGAAAACAAACACAAAGACAATGATGTACAAAAACAAAATTGTTACAATTTGAACACATTTTTGTTCTACATAATGTCTTGGAAGAGTAGTTCCATTTCTTCTTTTATTATATGCTTTTAAAATATTAACATAACATTCAAGAGGAAAGAATTTTAATGAATATTGATAATTTAAAAAACCTTGATATGATACAATAATTGATTTACAGTTTGTTCAAACTAGAAAACTTTTAATTGTGGGTAGGTTGGATGTACTGTTAACTGTTGTACATAATAAGGAATGTATGTATAAACAAGATCTATCAGTATAAGTTGAATTATTCTATTTGGTAATATGTAACACTACCTAACCTTTTGCAAACTGCTGGTCTTTTCTCTTTGTCTGAATACTGTCATACAAAAAAAAACAAACAAACCAAAAAACACCTGAGTACTGAGATGGAAGTTGACATTTTGCGTAATCAGTGTCCCTGCCTGTCTTGTAATGTTAACTTGATTTTTTTCCTTCTCCTAATTAAGATGCCAATTGAGTAAAAGAAAGAATGAGAGGAAAAAGACCATTTTTTGAGGATTTTAAATTGCTCATAAAAAAAATGTACAAGAGTCATGGTTCACAAATTGATTAAGAATAATGATAGTCATGATAATACATTATATCACATGATCATTTAACATTCCCTCAACAAACTGGACATGAACTTAATCATGTACTATAACCACAGTCAGTTAAATCAAAATCTAGCCAATATCTGCTCAATATTAGTCATAGCAGAAATAAGCCTTTATACCTTTTATCTTAAGTGTTAGTTATTTTTGCTAGAACATCCAAACACATTACATACATAAACAAATCAACTATAAATGATATACTGGAAAATCTTTAATCATTCAGTAAATCTAAAGATCAATACTAATTTATAGGTAAATATAATTGAAATGAGTCTCTCTGAGAATAGTGATTTGCTAATGAGTAACTGAAAAACAATGAACTCGAAGGACTCTAAGCTGCTTGGAAAGTCTGTGGTTTTCCCTCTTTTTCTCTACAGTTTCTCCATGACTAGTAAGGGTCAACGACTAAGAATTCTTCAGTGCTCTAACTTCAGAAGTTTTCTAAAATTAACAAGCAATGCTGGGTGCTTTTAGTATCTCAGAATATAGCTCATCAGAGTTTCTAATTTTACAGATGGATAAACTGAGCCTGAAAAACCTAAGAGACTTATCCTAAGTTTCCCAACAGTAGCAGAGCAGGTCCCAGCACTGAACACCTCTGAGCAGGTTTAAGTAACTGAGGGGTCAACTGCAGGGACACAGCTCTGTCTTTATCACCGCACCCTATCCTGTGGTCCAGAGTTTGCACAACAGAAACCAGAATTTTTTTAAATTATGATTCTCAACAACCTCAAAGTTAGCACTGTGCCATCCTAATGTATGACTTATCGTAGTCATTAGTAGACTCTCACTTGGTACATATGTTATAGCTAAAATCTATAGCTAAATAGAGAGTATCAAAACCACTTGTGATTAAATAAAACCAACAAAACAGTACTAAGCAAACTTTTTTTGATGTAAACTGATTTAAAGAAAAAGGAATGAGTTCTTTCATCATCATTAAGAAAGAACATCTGACATCAATTAACTCTCATCTACTTTAAAGTGAAGAATTAAACACAAAATTACCTTTGAAGGTTTCAAGTTCCTTCCTGTAGAAAGAAAAAGAAAGTGTAAATTTAAAATAATCTATTCCCAATGGCAACTGCTCTTAAGATTATAATAAAAATTTATGTACCTTAAATGCCCAGAGTAATATCTCTGGATGCTCATATATCAATGCTTTACTGTAATTACCAATACAATTAACCTAAAGCTACCATTTTTAGTTTTTCTATTACTCTATTAATTGCTCAAAAAATTCTACCAAAACTTAAACTACTAAAATACTGAAACACATACAAGAAAATACAGAGCATTTTAATGCCAGTTATGAACCATCTTGTATATAATATATAATAACCAGTATAATCAGTTTATAAAAGCATCTAATCTTCCTTCCACTGGTAAATTTTAAATAATAGAGTTTTAAGATCTTTAATTAAAAATTATCCAAGACAGGGGCAATTATTTCCCCTTTCAAATAAAAGGGGAAGCACATATCAAAAGACTGAGGGCCATAGCTCATCCTGACACAGAAGAGCGAAGCTTCCAGGAAAGCCCACGGTTGGTAATTTTGTCAGTGTCAATTAAGGATGCTGAAATACACAGTTTCCTGGGGAAATGTAAAGAGAGAAAAACAGATGAACAAACATAAAATAAAACATTTTTACAAAAGAAGTCAAAGCAAGTTATTTTCAGGTTTTCCTTCATAAATTTTTAATTCTATTTTTTCTCATTATACTAATAAGAAGTAATTTTGAGGAGGTTAAGTTTACTTAGTAAAGGCTTATTATCCCACTCAAAATATGAGACATTTATCTTTTATTTGCACTCTAGATTTTACTAATATAGAGATATTTCAAATTCTCAAATCAGTATTCTACACTACTAATTACCCTCATGTTCCAAAATAGTTTACTACAATTAACAGCTGGCAGGGAGGACTGGCAAGCCGCCTACTCAAAGGCCAAACATAATGTTCTTGTAATAGCCAAGTGGAGGTTCTTAAATCAAATGGTCATCTCATTCCTCTTTTTCTAAAAATATGGACTCCTTACAATAATGCTCCAGCATCACAGTTCATTAACTAAGAAAAAGAATGCTATTTTCAATCCCATCTTTTCAAAAACATGTGCAATTGTTTCCCTTTAACTAATGGTCCAACTTAATTCTTAAAAGATTAGGTGTAAAATAAACATGCCTAAAACCTACTTTATATTCCAACAATGGGATGAAAAGCTGAAATATCTAACAGAAAGGTAACATGTATCATAAGAGAACATCTTCAAAAGATACCTTCAGTTTACTTCTTAGTAGCAATTCCCTAAGGTCCCTGATGGCTGGTAAAGATGATAGATCACTCAGGCTGATATTCTAATAAATAATTCTTTTTTCTATGATTACAATCTTTAAAGAGCCTCTGCTTTCCTTCTCTTAGAATATGCAACAGTGAGCAAAATTTCTAAAAAGCACCTCCTGTTTTAAAAAGCTAACAACTCAGAGCAATAATTTCACAGGCACTGTTCTTCCCTCACCCCCAAAAACCAACGAGCATAAAACAAAGAACCCACTGTATTGTATCAATGAGTAATTCCCAATTGTGGAGAGCTGTGTTCCATTTGAAGTCATCATGCTCACCTTTCCACCTTCTGGCTGCCTCATCAAAATCAATGGCTACTGAGAAAAGAAGAGAACCTTAGCAAAGGACTTCCTAGACACCCTCTATTTACACAAATCATTACCCACAACTGTTTGTAAAATTTACAAGAACTTCGCCAATTCCTGAAAATGAAGATTGGTTGAAGTAGTGGTGGTACAGATAATTATGGTTTAAAGTAAAAATCAGTATTATGAAATCTTTAAAGAACTGATAAAGTGGTAGCACTGAAAGCCTTGAAATTTCCTAGTATTTAGGGCAGACTCCACCATTTGGTAGAGGTAATAGGCATTTGGAAATATAGAAGAGATAAAAGAAGAGAGGAGGTGGCATGTTAAGCAGAGGTGAAAGTGAAGGTGTGGAGGCCAAACAATGCTGGTTACATTTAAGAAACAGTAGAGTATATGGAGTAGCCAAAGAACTTACATGCATGACCCCTGGACATGAACTAAGGGAGGGGCTGCTGGAGGGATTGGGGGTACCAGGTGGAAGGAGAGCAAAGGGGGAATATTGGGACAACTGTAATACCAAAATCAGTAAGATGTATTTTTAAAAGAAGAAACAGCAAATACTTTGGAGGAGCAGGCTGAATGAAGAGAAGGTCATGGGAGATAAGGTTAAAAAGGTAGAGGGTCTGACTGCCAGGCGAAAATCACCTGATTTTAGTTTTGGCAGAAGAACAACATGAGCAAAGCTGTGTTTTAGGTAGAACATGCTAGCTGTGATGGATAGATGTACTGACAAGGGAGAGAACAAAAGCAGGGAGTACTTTGGAAACTATTAGAGGAGTTTGAAGAAGAGCTAATTAGGGCCTGGCAAGAGCAACTTCAGTGGCAGTGGCAATGGAAATGAAAAGGAGGAGTCCAATTGGAAAAATGCTGTGGAGAAGACGCAACAGTCCATGGCAACTAATTACATGGGGATAAGTGGGGGAAGGAAACTACATTAACCATGGGGAGTCTGGTCTGGATCATTAGAAGGAAGGTGAATTCATGAATAATTGAAAACTTAGGAAGAAGAGTAGATTTTGGAGGCAGTGCATCGTGAGTTCATTTTGGGACTTGATGAAATAATCTGAAGGTTGGAAACCTATGGCTGGTGATGCTGAAAGACACGATTTCCATCCCTACGGTTTACTCAAGGGAGGATTTAGTTCCTACAGATTTCTACTCCCTCACTTCCTATTCAGTCTTGAACCTATTCCAGTTTGGCTTCCAGACCCAACAACTGTACAATCAAGGTCACCAACAATCATCATGTTGCCAAATGTAATGATCGCTTACTTTTCATCCTAATCCCTCAGGCAGCACATGACCCAATGGCAATTCCCTGAGTTTCCCCTGGTTTTTTCCTGGTGCCTCAGTTTTGTCTTGTTTTTTGTTAGATTCTCCATCTCTTCCAGACCACTAAATGCTGGAGCACTGCAACTTTTGTTCTGGGTCCTGTTCTCTCCTTCACTTACATTTTCTCATAAGGCAATTTCATCCTGTTAGGTAGCCACAAATACCATCTATGTGCTACTGACTTCCTGAAACATATTTTTGTCTTTATCTCTTCTTTAAGCTCCAGATTCATAGGCAACTGCCTATTTAACAGCTCTACTCAAAAGCGCAGTAGGCTTCTCAAACATCTGCAAAACAGCATATTCTTCCTCCAGCCTCCTCATCTCAATTTTGGCATTATCAAGTTCTTCAAGCTTTTGTTTATTCACCTTCCTCATTCTCCAGCTCCAAATCCATCAATAAATCCTGTCAACTCTATCTCAAGACATCCTGAGTGCATCCAATTCTCTCTATTCTCACTGTTACCCCATTTCCTTATATCGAATGTAATCTTTGAGTTCGTTCGTTCAACAAAAATTTATTGAGCTTTAGACACTAGGAATAATATAAAGAATAGCAATAGGAATAATAACTACTTTTGGGATATACACATTCCATCGCCTCAAGGAACTTCAGTGAGAAAGAGAAGTAAAACAACAATTTGAAACTGTCATAAAATAACACTTTGATAATGACATGTTGATGATTCTCTAGGGATAAAGAGAAAGAGTAAGGCTTTTTGGAGGAACAAGGATTGCACTGAGTTTTTGCAGCAAAGTAAAACTGATGATGATGAAGATGACAGGTAACATTTATTGAGAACATGGCAGATATTTTACTCCTAACCATTATGTCACACTCTCAGTTAACCAAATGAAAAAGCATAGGTAAACCAGGAGTTTTAAGTCCTAGTCATTCTTCAAATTCTATTAGAAATGGTAATGACAATAATCAGTGTGAAATGGTCTTCAAGTTCATCTTTTCCATGAAGACATGCTTGACATCCAACTGGCGATCCTACTTTATTGAAACTCATACTGCACTTTATTCTATCAGTGTTATAACACTTCATGCACTGCCTTGTAATGCAGTTATTTCGTGCAGGTGTCATCTCTACAATTATACTGCAGAGCTCCTGAAGTGCATAGGTCATTACTCATCTGCCCTGTGCATACATGTGCACAGAGTCAGACCCAAGAGACACTCAGCAAATCATGATTATCAAGTACTGTGACTGCAGAATGACTAAGAATATCTGCTTTTTCAAAGAAGCCCTTGCTGTTCCTATAGAGAATTTTATTATAAAAAACACTTGGTTGCATAGAACCTCATTTGATAACTTGTTTGCTACTTGTTTTAAAAAAAGTGTCTCTTATTTTTCAGTTTGATAGTATTTTCAGAAGATCAATTAAACAGAATGAACTGAAATGCCTTCCTTTAGATTTTCCCATATTTTAAATTTTACTCAATTCAGCAAATGGCTTTACAAAATTTAGAATAATAAACCCTAAAACTCATGCATTAAAAAAATAGCACCAGACTCAAAGTCTAATAGTATTTCTAAAGGGTGAAATTGCTTATTTAATCATTTTCTCTACAGGGGTTGAGTTATGAGGGCGGAATGAAAAAATAGTATCACATTAATAAATAAATCTATGGAATGTTACAAGAAGTGTATTAAATCTGTGTATGTATAGAAATCAACTAAATCAGACATACAGATGCGAACTTAACAAATTGGAACCACTGGATAAATATCTATATATACACAATCACATCACAGATGGAGGCACACTTTCTCTACATACTAAACTATTTCCCTAGAACAAATCCATGATAAAAAGCTAACACAATGATTCTATAGGGCAAAATGCCACATTCAAAATTCCAATAGCAAAATCAATTCTAACATTTTTCTTTTTGTTTTTTTATTGTTGTTCAGTTACAGTTGTCCCGATTTTCTCTTGTTGCTCTCCCCGGCCCCATCCAACACCTGCATGCAGACAATCCCCTCCCACTGTCCTTGTCCATGAGTCCCTTGTACACGTTCCCTCCTCTTTCCCATTATCCC